CCGCCCCCTTCTCACGCCCCGCCCACGCCTCGCCTCCCTTTTCCGCACCCCTCCGCCGCCACGCCCACTTCACTCCTGTCCCTACCTGGCCAGGCGGGTCTGCATGCCTGTGTGCTCCAAGAAGCACGTTGGCAGCTTCCTTTGTCTGGGGAAGGTCAGATTCCCAGACACAGGAAAGAGTCATGTCCCAAGCCAACAATCCTGCCATTTGTCCCGCGCCGTCGCGTCTTGGCCTTTTGGCTAAGCTCAAGTGTTGTCCTTCCATTGTGCAGTCCAGCCCCTGTGGGACTGGACCTATCCTTCCTGCGATTCCTGTAACATTTACCTGGATCTGTTTGATAGTAAGTGCGTGTGTGTGCTCTCGCGGTGCTGGGGCTGGAGTCAGTCCGAGCAGATGCGCAATCACGGAGCTGCACCCCAGCCAGTTCCTAGTGTTCCCCTGCCCTGTGCGTGTGCAGGGGCGCAGGGATGAGCCGCATTCTCTTCCCCACAGAAGTTCTTTGAGGACAGGAGCTACGTGGGCTGGAGAGCATGGGAAATTGCCCTCAGCCTTGGGAGCAGAGACTTCCAAAGACTGAGGAAACCCCAGAAAAGGGAGCCCGGGAGGGAAACTGGAAGTGGGGACCGGGTCAAGATAGGTCAAGCTGGGCTAGAGGAAGGAGCCGGGTGGGGACGGAGGAGTAAGGGCCCCTTGTGGAGCAGATCTTGCACACCTGGGGCTACTTCCCACCGAGGGGCGGGCTCTGCTGCAGGACCTCGAATGCGTCGTGGCTTCTGGCAGAGGAGTAAGATCGTAGATGTGCCGTTTTGAGACTAGTGTTCAAGGTGGACGAAGGGGTCAGCTGGGGCAGGAATGGAAAAATGGGGGAGACTATTCATGTGGGCAGGGCTGCCCCTCCTCCCTCCCGGTCCATTATTCTCTTGCCCTCTCCTACTGCTCCCTGAACGTCTGGGGACAACACTGTCCCTGCAGCACTGTGTCACAGGACCCATGGGTGCTGGACCTAGGGCAGAGGAATGGAACAAAATACAGAGGCTGTCTTCTGCCTTTGCGCTGCACTTTTGTGCTGTTGTTTTGTTTCGTTGTGTCTGTTTTAATGTGGCACTAGGGATTGAACCCAAGGTATTTGCTCTGAGCTGCATCCCCAGCCCTTTTGTAAAAAGTTTTATTTTGAGACAGGGTCTCACTAAATTACCAAGTTGCCCAGACTGAGCTTGAACTTGCAAACTCCTGTCTCAGCCTCCCAGAGTGCTAGGATTACAGGCGTGTACCACCATGCCCAGCCCATTTTATTTAACTGCTCTCTGCTTTGCTGGGCCAGGGCAGCATGGCATGTACCGCACGCATCCAACAGTGACGCGTGTGCCGTATCCTATGTGCCAGGCATTCGGCCACAACCCCAGCGCTGCCAGAGCAGCAGCAGTCACCACTGAGGGCTTTGCCTGGTTCCTGCTGTTGGCTCCCATCCTCCTGCGAGGTTCTGATGACGAGCTACAGACAAGGAAGCCATGGTCCAGACATGGCCCAGGGCAGGCCTGTCTCTGCCCCATGCAGGACAGACACTGTCATACCTCAGAGCTGGCCTTGTGGCCAAAGTCCTGGAGGTGTCCAGCAGAGGCCAGGCCAGAGGGAAGCTTGTCTCACCTTCCTTCCTTCCGTCCTTCCTTCCTTCCTTCCTCAGAGTCCCTGGTCCTCCATACGATCCTAAAAGTCTCCCCCTGAAGCAATTATCTCATCAATGAGGGATGCTGCCAAAAGCCAAGTGGCAAGGCCCAAGGTCCCTGAACAGAGCTGACGGTGGCTAATGCATCCCTGCTGTGTCCAGACTTTGTGTGGGGGAGGCCAGGTTGGTGGAAGATCATGGGGGCTGGGAGGTGGGACAGGCTGTCCCCACCTGTGCAAAGGACCTGTCCCTTCCTCTGTCCTATAACCAGGCCACCACTGTGTTTGCTGAGCACCAGCCATACAGATGCTGGGGATGAAGATGTCTGGGAGTTGTCCTTGCCCTCCCAGAAGCTTTGGCTCAGGGGAGGTGGGTTGGCGAGGAATCCCAGAGTGGCCTGTCTATAATCACACTCTGTCACTCCTTGTATATTTTTTGCATGTCCTCCGTTTAGTAGAGAATGGGGAAAACCCTAAACATTCCTGGGGGAAGGCTATGTTGGAAGAGGCCCAGACTTCAAGTGCTTGTTGGGCACACTGCCTTCTGCTGTCCCCTTGCTACAGCTTGGCTGGAAAGTGGGACAGGACAGAGCAGGCTCCCAGAGAGGAACATCAGCCTGGCTTTGTGGCTGGTTAGCTGAGTGGTCTTAGAAAAGTCATTTGCCCTCTCCGAACCTGTTTCCTCACGTATAAGTGGGAAACAGCAACTGTACCTTCCTCCAGAAGCCGCAGTGAGAGTGTCCAGTGAAAACGGGCTGGCAGGATGCTCGCCGTGCCATCTGTGCAGAGGCTGGTGAATATGGGCTTTTGTGAAGCCATGCGTTTCCTGCTACCCTGTCCTGTTCAGTGTCTGAGCCATGGGCTGCCCACTGGCCAGGGATAAGCCAAACCACCCCCTCCTCCCAACTGGGGGTTGGGGGCAGGCAGGGAGAAATGACCCCAAATGACCCCAGCTCCAGGACTGAGTGGACCCTCTTTTTTTTTTCTGGGGATTGAACTTGGGACCTTTGTGCTTTCGAGGCAGGCAGTGGAACCATTGAGCTAAGTCCCTGGCTCGAGTGGGCGCTCTTTCTTCATGCTAAGCCTACATGACCTAAAGCCATCCAAGTGACATTCTGCCTTACCAGAGCTGAAGGAACACATCATCTCTGGGACTCTCACCTGAGTGCACCCGGGGTGTCCTGCTTTGAACCCTCTCTTCTCCTTTGCACCTCCACATCTCAGTGGCTTGTGTCACATCTGCTGGCTGATCCCAGCACCGTGACTAAGATGTCACTCACCCCGGCTGGAGTCTGGCATTCAGCTCTCATCCCTGGGTTCGATATGGCAGAACATTCGTATTCGCCTCCACTGCTAGTTTGGGCCTCCCCTGCAAACCCAATCCTGGCACTGCCTGGGGTGTGTCGGGGGAGTGGTCCTGCTGCTGAGCTTTGATGTGGGGGTGCTGGTTTGAGCCCCCCACCTCTTCAGGACAACTGGGAAAGGAAAGGAGGTGGGTCCGGGTAAAGAGGGTACATTCACCCCTCCAGAAATAGCCCTGCTTTGGAAGCCAGTGGCCCAGTGACAGTGACTGTGACAGAAGTCAGTGACTCTGCCCCAGCACCCTACTCAGGCCCACGGTTAGTTAGATCCTCAATCTCTTCGAACCTCACTTTAAGCCATTTGCAATAGTGAAATCATAGCGCTATTACATGTAGCAGATGTTAGAGACTACGGCTGAACACCTGCTGTGTGCCTGGCCCGGGACGAGAGCTGCCCCATGAATGTGAATGTTTGTAACAGCTAGGTCACCATGCCTTCACCTCAAACGTCCTCGAATTGTAAACAGTCACAGGCCTGTCTCCAGTGCTGGACTCTAGAGTTTCAGAAAGGAATGAGACCCTGACCATCCCTAGGAGCTCACAGACCGCCAGGCCAGTAACGTCCCCAGAGAGAACGGACAAGCGTCTCCTCCCACCCCAGCGAAGGTCTTGTACATTGGGGCAACCGAGCTTGGACTCTGCTCCCTTCAACCAGAAGGGGGCGCTCAGCAGACCGCCCCGCCGGTCAGGGCCCGCGGTGAGTGAGGCCCGTGACTCAATTTCACCACCAGGGGGCGCAGAAGCAGTAGTCCCGGCCCGCCCACCTCCTCACGAGGTCCTGTCTGGGTCCTTTGGTTGTCTTTTCCCAAATTCAGCTCTGGGAGTTGAGGCCCTGACAGCTAGTCCAGCTCTTACCAGCTTGAGCACACTGAACCAGGACTCCGCTGTCCCCCGAGCTCCGGACCCTGCTGTCAGAAGAGGCATTTGCTAGGGCTTTAAGTGCCAGGCATCACTTCCCGGGATATCTCTAGCCCTGACCCAGTGCCGCTCCACACTCCGCAGCCCCCAGAACCCAGGACACACAGATCAAATTTGAATGTTGGGCCTGTGAGAGGGAGGTGATTGATGACAGCACCCGTTCCCACAGGGCAGCCCCCCAACTGCTGCCTCTGAGGAAAGCTCGTATCTCCCTGCTGATGCTGGGGCCACCTCTCTACCTCTCTGTCCTCTTGTTTTAGAATGTGGGCACACTAAACAGCCCGGGTTGAAATTGAAGCAGAAAAGTCGGCACTAAAACAACGACCCTCCAAGCGTGGCCGGGCGCATCTGTACTCTCTGAACTCCGGGAGGCCAAGACAGAAGGGTGGCAAATTGTAGCCTAGCTTGGGCAACTTGATGACTTAGGGAGATCCTGTCTCAAAATTTTAAAAAACTTAAAAAGGACTGGGGTTGTCGCTTAGTTTTAAGGACTGAGTTCAATCCCTAGTACCACTCAAAAAAAAAATGCAAACATTTCATTAAAATAATTTCAGAAATAGAGAAAAGTTGCAGAAATAGTTCCAAAAATTCCCTGAATCTTCACACTTTACTGCTCTTGCTTTTTCATTCTTCCCCTCCAACCTTTCTTGTTTTTCTGAACTGTTTTTGAGTAAACTGCAGAGTTGATGATCCTTTTGCCCCAGACTCTTCAGGGTGGTTTCCTACAAAGACATTCTCTTCCACAACCGTAGTGCTCTGTTTAAAGCCAGGAAATTAAAGTCATCGATAAAATACCTCTAACTTTTCCCTTCAAATCTCCATTTGTCTTGCTAATGTCTTTTGTAGAGCAAGGGAAAAAAATGCTGAAAGCATCTGGGACCCAATCCAAGACAGGGGCACTCAGCACCCTTTAACTTGGAATGGTCTGTCTCATTTTTAAAGCATCTGGGTGTTTGATTTGGTAGCATGACCTTCACTGGGATCCCCTCTAGGGCTTGGGACAGGAACGATACAGAAGCCACACCTGCCCTCTCTCTGTGTCACACCAGGCTATACCCAGTGTCCCTTCAGTCACCCTTTCCCCCTTTGAATTAATCAGCACCTCATGAGGGCACACGATACAACGAGGCTGATAGTCTCTTATCAAACTGATTTATCTCATCAGTAAATTTAGTGTTCATTAATTATTCTTCTCTGAAATAGGCATTGCTGTGATGCTTGCCCAATTGTGATGCTCTGCTTTCATCAGTCCTCTGTACCTAGGCGAGGGAGAGATTTCCCTTCTCTTGCATGCTGGTATGGACTCATTCATTTATGGCAATATGAACTGCTGGATTC